TTACTCAAAACAGGGGATTTATTGGCCTTCCTCCTGGGAGGGCCAAGAGTTGGGCACCTGCAACCTGAGCTCCAAACATCAGTAGGGCACCCCCTCTCATCTCCCAGCTGCTGCCCATGTGTGCCGCCTGCCTCTCTCACGTCCCACGGGAGCACCTCCTCAGGGAAGGCAGCGCGGCTGCCGGCTGCTCCAGGATCACATCCCAACAGCCCTGCGACCAGAGCTCGGGCGGGATCCCATTTCCCAGCTAGAGATTAAAAATCTCAGTGAAGAACTCCTATTGGCCCAGCTCACGTCCTGGCCTCTGAGACAATCAGAGTGTGGCTCTGCGATTGGCTGCCCAGCTTGGATCACATGCCACCCGCCCATGTGACCAGTGAGAGGGGTTAGAAAAGACGGATGGCAGGCAGAGATGGCAACACAGATATGCATTCTGGAGCAATCTCTGAAGCCAGTGGTCACCCCAATTTGCATCCTCTCTAACTGGTGACCCCAACCTTGGCTTCCTCCTTGTCAGTCTACATCTACTAATAAAAAGACACCTAGTTAGTTTCATGTTCCTGTCTCCTTCTTCAGAGGGGTCCAGGCAGTCTTCTATGTAGATGGAGGGGTGGGTCTCTCCTCCTCTGTAAGCCACTTCATGCTTGGAGGTACCTCTGCTTCCTTGTCTGTAAAATGGGGGTGGTTGGGTCTGCCCGACTCCCCTTGCAGAGCTGTGTGAGGACCCACGGCGCTAGTGGATGCGAAAATCGCTCTGGAAAGAACAAAGTTCCATATTTACAAACACAGGATGTACTTATTGATTTATTATGCTCCTGTGTGTTCCCAAAAAAGGATTTGAGGTAGTTCACCAAAATGCACACAATACAGTGGGATAAAAATAAAGCGATAGAGCAAAGGGAAAACAAGGGTAGAAAAACAAAATAAAGCCAGGGAAAATGCTAGCACATGGACGCCTACGCCCAAAATTCCAGAAGTTCAGATCTGAGCTTCCTCGTGAACAAAGAAGTGGGAGGCGTGATCAGTCACAAAAGGCACTGTAGCCACAAGGTAAAAACGTAGCAGCAGAGCTTGTCTAGTTTAGTTTAATAAAACTAATGTTTAATAAAAACCTCTTCTCATCAAAGAAGACAGTATGGATACCAAGATATTATGAATATTCCTATTCAACACTATTTAGAATCCTGTCCTTTTGTTTTCATGATGTCATCTGACATGTACTTCAGGGTCTCATGTGGTTTCATCATCTATTTATGATTTGATTTAACTTAGCTAAAAACTGGATACCAATTAAATATCAAGCAAAAACATCCCCGTCGTCTCTTCTGCTTTCTTTTCTTTTTATGGTAAAATGAGTTGGAGTTCCAGGAGTGGTGCCTGAGTTCCCCAGTGAAGTATGGGACAAAAAGTTTGAGCATCTTGGCGACGCTGAAACATAAAAATAACCAAGACATAAAACTGATCCAAGCAAGCCATAAAGACACTGCCTCTGCCTCAGAACTTGGACTATGATCTGCTGCCCTGGAACAAAATTCAGACATAAATCAGCCTCCACTATATTTTAACCACCTATGAAATTCTTCACTTCTTGCACGAAATGTTTCTGACAGTGAATGATCCCACCCTCCCCCACTCCTGCTCTGAGAAGGTGGCAGTGGGGGTCCAGGTCTGGACCCCACAGGTCAGGCAGGCCCAGGATGGGCCAAGGGATGGAATAACTGACCCAAGGGTCTTCATGAGGGATAAGCCAGGCTGTGGCTAGCCTGCACAGTGCTGTAGTTGAAAAGGGAGACTCCTGTAGGCATGGGAAACCCTCTGGGTTCCCACCTGGGGTGCTCTCTCCCCCGTCTGCACCTGATCCAATCTCGGTTATCCTTCAGGCCTCCACAAAACCCGAAGCATCCTCTTTTTCCTGAGCTCCTAATTCATCCACAGTAAGTACAGACAGCTGGCATTTAATTATATGATGTCTGGTGTTCACTATTTCATGTTGTCAGTCTGTCTCTCTAACTAGATTGAAGATATCTTGAGAGTAATGATTGTTCTTATTTTATATGTTTACCTTATAGCCAACAAGGGTGCTTTATGTCTGGGCACTTCACAAATAACAAAGTCATCAAAAACAGAATTTGAGGGTGTCGAAGCCGACGAGTTCTGCCCCCGTGCGTCCATTTCACAGACAAGGAAATGGACAGCCAATGAGACTTGACCTGCCCAAGGTCATACAGTGAGAGCCTGGCCCACCCAGGAATAAACCCAGTTCTGTCTGCCAATGTAGTGCTGGCTCTATTTCCCATAAACACTTCACCCTAAAACTCCTAAATAGAAAGTTCAGAACCACAGCTCACTAAAGAACAAAGACAGACAGACAAACAGACAGCTGGGCCACAGTAATCCATCTGTGCGTGGGCAGAATTTCCAGCACAAAGCCAGGCCGAGCTGCAGCAGGCTCAGCAAACAGTCCCCGTGGAAATCAAAGCCGGTCACTGTGTGTACTGGGATGAAAGGACCTCTGCAGGTTACCTGGGCTCTTTCAGCTCCCCCCAGCACCACAGGGGTCAGCACCGTCTGCAACAGTCTGGGCACAGGAAACCCATGATTGATGGTCTCAGCAGGAGGGACCAGTAGAGGTGGAAAGGGCATCTCCTTTCTAGGGAGAGACACCGTGTATGTTGGGGGCTGCCTTTTGCCGTGAACTAAGAGCCCTTTGATAGCAGGAAACAACCCAAGCATTTGTCCCTAACTCCTAACAACAGCTACGGTACAGTAGTGTCAAAGCCGATAGAAACCAATATCAAAACAATAATCAAAATAAGAATGACGACAATTGCTAAGCGAAACCCTATAATGAAAAACTGGCAGCGGGCCCATCAGTCCTGCTGAATCTCCCCTGGTCACTCACAAGCCACAGCACTGACCGTTTAGTGATTCTCACAGCAGCCCTCCAAGCCTGGCCCCTCAGCTTTGTTCTACAGACCTGGGAACTGAGGCGCAGCCAACTTAAGTACCTGGTAGAGCTGGGATTGGAATCCAGGTCAGTCTCCTTCCACAGCCTGCCCCCCCGCCCCTTTCACACAACCCACTAGGGCTCTCATTCCAGTCCCATTTCAAGTATTGGTCCCATTATGAGAACCAGGGAACGAGTCTGATTTGGAAAATCCGAGGCTCTTGAGGGAGAAGGATGACAGCTCACCCGTTATTTCACGGGGAACGGGGGAGAAAGACAGAGCACTGACAGGAAGCTCACCACACCGCCGTGGCTTTTTTGTGGTGCCAAACACATGCGGAAGGAACCACTTCTAAAAGAACACAGTGTTTTCCCTCCTCTTCTCGCCTCCCCTGGGCCCGAGCCTGTGATAATTGGGAAGCACAGAGTCTGGTTTTTCTGGGGTTGGAACCAATGCTGTGAAGAGTGTTCCGACAATAAATGCTGTTGATTGACAGTTGATAGACAACGATCTCGAGGAAGTTTCTCCTGTGCTGGGTGTTAAGCTAAGCTCTGCACTAAACAACTGCTCAGCAGCCTGCTGACTGTTCAGAGAGAATTTACTATGATTTTCCTCTGTGGGCCTCAGGCAGGCGGCCAGCGGAGATGAGATCTCAGGTCGCCTCCAGCACCATCATTCAACAACTATATCATGAGAACGCAGACCTGGACGCATTCACACACCGAACCCACAGGCTCCCCCGGAAAGATAACTGGTCAGAAAATAAGGAGCTCCGATTCCAGCCTCATATTCTTTGACCCAATGATTCCACTTCTACACATTTATCTTAAAAATTTCAGAAAGACAGAGCTATGTGTGCAAAGATGTTTCCTTAGCATTATTTGGAGGTAATGTCCAATGCAAGAATGGCGGTCTTGTCTTGGTGGCATTTGCCACCATCACAAATAGTGATTTCGAGGACAGAGGGAAATGTCTATGACAGTGTTTTACAAATTGCAGCTCAATATCCATTAATGCAGTGGTTCATAACCTTGGCTGCACATTAGAATCACCGGGTATTTTTAAAAACCTGATTTCTGGGCCTCATTCTCCGGAAATTCTGTTTCTTTGTTATGGGTGAGGCCACAACATTAGTAACAAAGAAACAGAATTTCTGGAGGATGAGGCCCAGAAATCAGGATTTTAAAAAGATTCCCAGGTGATTCTAATGTGCAGCCAAGGTTGAGAACCACTGCATTAATGGGTCATGAACTAAACTTAATAGGTCTCCTGCCACCAGCTTTTAAAAAATATGTATATATAATAGGCTAGAATAGAACATATGAGCGTGCATCGCGGGTGGTAACGGTGTTTGTTTATCGGGCACGTTGGTGGCAGTTACAGGGGTAGCTGGGCCATGGGACAGAAGAGCATTTGTACCAGGGGACAGTTAGAACATTTCAAAGTGCTGGGTCTGCAGTGTCTGCGCAAGAGGGTGACAACAGAATAGAACATCCGGCCGACAGGAAGCCTGGGGGGAATGCACAGAAACGTGGTGCAGGATAAAGGACGCTGCTCAGGTTTTCCGTGATGTGTGTGAGCAAAATAACACAGGACAAAAAGGAGGAATAACAACAGGAGGTCGTGATCAGATCCCAAAAGGCCAAGGAACTCAAGAGAGGGCTTCTGGAGCAGCAGTGCCTCAGGATGGGCCGTGAAGGTTGGACAGGATTTAAATGGGGGCTGGGGGGTGCAGGCTGGCCTCAAAGTGTGCAGGGCGGTCACTAAGGGGATGACGGGCAGGAAGAAGAGGTGGGAAAGACCTCTCGGTGCCCTAAAGGGGCTTTGAATGTGGAAGGCCAGGGGCAGCTCTGCCCCCACGCCATCTACCCTTCCCCCTGGCCCCAGGCTAAGGCCAAACTAGAGGTTGCCCCGCACAAACATGGCGGCGCCGCGCTGGCCACGCCCCTCAACAAGATGGCGCCCGCCAGGAGCCCCACCTCCCGCCGCCTTGGTGGCCAATGAGGGGGGAGCACGAGTGCTTGCGCATGCGTGGTGCTACGAATGGGCGCGTCCAATGATGACTGGGGGATCCCGGCGAGCAACATGACTAAAAAGAAGCGGGAGAACCTGGGCGTCGCTCTGGAGGTGAGGGGAGAGCGGGGGGTGGGCCACGTCGTTCGTTGTCTCTCCCCGCGGCGGGGTGGTGGGTCCGCCCGGTGCAGGTTGGAGGAGGGGCCTAGGGAGGCGTGAGGGTCAGGGCGCCGCGAGCTTGGGAGTCGCCAGGGTCTTGGGAGGCCCCTGTGGGTACCGGGCGCTGAGGGGCCTGAGGAAGGAACTGCATGCTGGAGAGCCGGGGGGCGGCAGAGATGGGAGCCGGGGGAGCGGAACTCCGGAGGGAAGAGACGCGGAGGGAACCGGGGCCCCGAAGGGGGCGGGACAGGCAATGAGGTCCTGCAGGGAGACCTTCATTGAGGACCCAGAGGGGCGGGCAGTGGAGGGGGGCACAGAGGGGTCGAGGGCTGTGGATGAGGGACGCCTGCAGGTTAGGGAGTCCACACTGTTTCGTGTGTCAGTAGTGGCTTAACTTTGCTGCGATGGGACTTTTTCCCTCTGGGGCCTGAAGCCTGTAACGAAACTTGCCTTGGGAACCTGCGGGAACTTGTAGAGGATCGTGCAGTGGCTGTGTCCCCAAATGGCTTACAAATAACTTGCTGCGCCCTGGCGGGTCGTTCAGTTGCCGGGAGTGTCCTCTCCTGCAACAGAAGGTGTGGGCGGTCAGGGCGTGTCATGGGAGTCTCTCTCTCTCAACTCAGTTTTTAAAATCCTCAGGTGAGGACGTAAAAAATAAAAATAATTTGCTGCATGTGGGAGGGAAAGAAAATGGATGCATATGGACATAGCAGCAGGTACGTGCTACTTCGTGTGCATCCTCAGTTCATCCTCAGGACAAGCCTGTGAGCTTTTTACAGACTAGGAAACTGAGGGTTCGAGGAGAGCCTAGTTGAAGCGTTGGAGGAGCTGAGAGTCAGATGATTTCTCTTCTAGTGCATCTTGTTGCTGATGCGTTATAATCCCTTAGGTCACCTCCCAGATGTTACAGTCCCCTCAGGTCACCCCCCAGCGGTTACAGTCCCTCAGGTCACCCCCCAGAGGTTACAGTCCCTCAGGTCACCTCCCAGAGGTTACAGTCCCTCAGGTCACCTCCCAGCGGTTACAGTCCCTCAGGTCACCTCCCAGCGGTTACAGTCCCTCAGGTCACCTCCCACAGGTTACAGTCCCTCAGGTCACCTCCCAGAGGTGACAGTGCCTTAGGTCACCTCCCAGCGGTTACAGTCTCTTATGTCACCTCCCAGCGGTTACAGTCCCTCAGGTCACCTCCCAGCGGTTACAGTCCCTTAGATCACCTCCCAGAGGTTATAATCCCTCAGGTCACCTCCCAGCGGTTACAGTCTCTTATGTCACCTCCCAGCGGTTACAGTCCCTCAGGTCACCTCCCAGCGGTTACAGTCCCTTAGATCACCTCCCAGAGGTTATAATCCCTCAGGTCACCTCCCAGCGGTTACAGTCCCTCAGGTCACCTCCCAGAGGTTACAGTCCCTCAGGTCACCCTCCCAGCGGTTCCATCCTTGATTGGGCACCTTGGGAAGCAACCAGTCGATGTTCCTGTCTCACAGGGATCTCTCTCTCTCTCTCTCTCTCTCTCTCTCTCTCTCTCTCTCTCTCTCTCAATTAAGAAAACATGTTCTCCAGTTAGGATTAAAAAACAGAGAGGGTAATAGTGTTCTTGAGCTTCCTATCAGTTCAGTGCTTCTCAAAGTTAAGGCTGCATTAAGAATCATTTGTAGAGCTTTTTACGATGGAGGGTTGAATTCTCCCCTGCCTGGAGTAATTCAGTAGGACGTGTGTGTGTGTGTGTGTTTGTGTGTGTGTGTGTGTGTGTGTGTGTGTGTGTGCGTGCGGGCGCGCGCGCGTGTGTGTTTTGGGGGGTTGGGGAGTGGTATTTTTAACAAATAATTTGTTTTTTTCTATTGATTGATTTGAGAGAGAGAGAACATTGATTTGTTGTTTCATTTATTTATACAATCATTGGTTGATTGTTGTGTGTGCCCAGACTGGGGGAACCCACAACCTTGGAATATTGGGACGATGCTCTAACTCAGTGGTTCCCAAACTTATTTGGCCTACCGCCCCCTTTCCAGAAAAAATATTACTCAGTGCCCCCTGGAAATTAATTTTTTAAAATTTTAATAGCAGTTAAACAGAAAGATATATGTATTAATGTTTCTACCTTTTTCGTAAAATATAGTAAAGAAAGGTGTAAATTAGAAACATTGAAGTTTGAAATTATGAAACTTTATTGAACTCAGAATAGAAAGGTAATACAAAAAAAGTTAAAACAAATGCACCTGTGGCCATCACCGCCCCCCTGGATCGCTGCAGCGCCCACCAGGGGGCGGTAGCGCCCACTTTGGGAATCACTGCTCTAACTAAATGAGCTACCTGGCCAGGGCCAGGTCAGATGCTTTCAACAAGCTACATACACCATGCTGAAGCAGGAGGTGTTAGTACCACCACTTGAGAAGCATCAGCCTCCTTGGTAGAAAAAAAAAAGGTTGATGGAAATAGGAATCTCCTTCTGAAAGAGAATAATAGATGGTCAAATGAGAAGGCACTGTGTAGTGGGACAAGAATAGACTTTATAGTCTGTATTAGGACATGGTAAGCTGCTATAACAGGAACCCCCAAAATCAGTGGTTTTAAGAACAAGAAAAGGTTTTTTTTTCTAACATGCTAGAGCAGGGATGGGCAGACATTGTTTCTAAGGTTCAGATAGTAAATATGTTAGGCTTTGTAGGCCATATGGTCTCTGTTGCAACTACAGTTGATCCTCATTATTCATGGAGTCTGTATTTGTGAATTTGCCTACTTGTTAAAATGTATTTGTAACCCCCAAATCAATACTTAGAGTGCTTTTGCAGTAAGTCACAGACAAACTCAAAGCAGTAAAAAAGTTGAGCACTGGCTGGTGGTGTTCAGTGGTTACAGCATCCATCCACGCACCAAAGGGTCACGGGTTCAATTCCCGGTCAAGGGCATACACCTGGGTTTTGGGTTCGATCTCCAGCCCCAGTCAGGTCAGGTGCTGAAGGCAACCAATCAATGTGTCTCTCACATCGATGTTTCTCTTCCTCCCTCCCTTCCACTCTCCCACGCTGTTCCTCTCACTCTCTCTAAAAACAGTGGGAAAAGTATCCTCAGGTGAGGGTTAACCAAAAAAATTGTGGTCACTGGAGGCCTACAGATCCCACTAAGTTTGAACAAGGTAGTGTTCTGCCTTCTTATTTTAGTTATTTTTCTTTTTAAAAAATATATTTTTATTGATTTCAGAGAGGAAGGGAGAGAGAGATAGAAACATCACTGATGAGAGAGATCCCACACTGGGAATTAAGCCCACAGCCCAGGCATGTGCCCTGATTGGGAATCAAACCATGACCTCCTGGTTCAGAGGTCGATGCTCAACCTCTGAACAACACCAGCCAGGCCTTATTTCAGTTCTTATATAGTAAACAAGTGTCCCCTTTTTGGTCTATTTAGTGCCACATTTTTTATAATTTTGTGCTTCTTGCTGGTGATTTTGCTGTTTAAAATGCCCTCAAGTGTAGTGCTGTCTAGTTTTCCAAAGTGCAAGAAGGCTTCATGTGCCTTACAGATAACATGTGTGTGTTATTTTGTTCAGGTCTGAGTTACAGTATTGTTGACTGTGTGTTCAATGTTAATGAATCAAGAATATATATGACAGTAGGCCTTTTTAAACAGAAATACACACAAAACAAGGTTTTTTATTGATCCGTTGATAATAATGATATGACCGGAGGCTCACAGGGACCTAACCTGGTTCAGTATTTGCTCATTCATTTTTGGTGGCAGCTTTATAGAACGTAACTACCACAAATAACATGCATCAACTACACTCAGATAGGCTGTCTTAGCACAAAAGCAGCCATAGACAGTATGTAAATTAATGGGTGTGACTAGGTTCCAATAAAACTTTATTTACAGAACAGGTCCACAGGCTATAGTTGGCCAACCCCTGGTGTAGAGTACTAGGACAGTAGTGGCTCCACTGTATTCCTTCCGATCTTGTGGCTCTGCCTTCCCCTAGGTCCTTGTTGTAACCTCATGAATGAAACCAGGCCACACCCACTGGCTGGGAAAGAGAGAATGGAGAAGCACACCCGCTGTCTTAAGAGTCCTGGGCCTAAAGTGCCCATTTTCCATTGGCCAAAATGCAAGCTAAGAAGCGAGGCCTCATCTAACTGCAGGGGCAGGCTGGGAAATACATTTATCAGTTAGGAGGCCACATGCCCAACTACAGCCTGATTGCAATGGAAGAAGGAGCTAGTGTGTTTTAGTGCAGCAGTCGCCAACCTTTCAGACCTCACGGACCACAAGTGGTCCACGGACCACCAGTTGGCAACCACTGTTTTAGTGGACATTCCACAGTCTACACAGATTGCAACTTACCTCACAGTGTGGTTTTGTGGATTAAATGAGGAAATCTATTTAAAGTGCCTAACAGATGCCTGGCAGTGTTATCTACACTAATAAAAGAGAAACATGGTAATTAGCGTACGACCGCTACCCTTTTCATTGGCTAATCAGTGAGTATATGCAAATTAACTGTCAGCCAAGATGGCGGCCAGCAGCCAGGCACTGAAGCGAGCATGAGGTTTGCTTGCTGCGGACTCCAACATTCCCTGCCTCACTTGCCGGCCTCTCAGCTGCAACTCTAAGCAACTATGTACTATGTTGCAAATAAGAAGCTAAACAAAACCCCAGAAATCAGTCACTGAAAGCCAGGCGGACCGAAACTTTGTATCGATGTTTTCAGCAGCGAGGCCTCAGAGCTAAAGCTGGCCCAGAATAAAAAAAAAAAAGAAAGAAAACAAGGAGCAGTTGGGAGCTTCAGTCACTCGCCACCCGGAAAACAGCCCTCAGCCCCTCACCCAGACTGGCCAGGCACCCCAGTGGGGACCCCCACCCTGATCCAGGATACCAGGGCAAACCAGCCGGCCCCCACCATGCACCAGGCCTCTATTCTATATAGTAAAAGGGTAATATGCCTCCCGGCACCGGGATCAGCG